GAAACGAAGAACAAAGCATCCAATCAAATAGTTGATGGAATTAAACATGAAGAATTGTGAGAGGGAAATTATCAAAAAACTTTGTTTATCTTTAACCTTATCAGAGAAGATATGAATGAAAAACACTCCGATTTTGGATGAAGTACACATCATAATCCCCTTGCGAAAATGAGAATCACCATAGCGAAGGTCAACTCGATCTTTCGATCGAAAATTAACTGATATAATACAACAAAAAGCAAAAAAAATAAAGTGACCGGCGGCAGAAGGCCACCAACCACCGGAGCGAAATTGTATCGATAGTTTTCTAGAAAAAAGTTAGAGAGAAACTAATTTTTGTGTATCATTGTGTCAATTAGGCGATGTTAATATATATGGTCTACATTGGGTTTTTCTTTTGGAAAAGGTTTTTTTTTTTCAAAAAAAGACTAAACTTGGACCATTTTCCGATTTGTGCATGTCATCCTTACGCAGGGGCCATGCTAATCTTCTCCGTATCGTTCCAATTTTATCGGATGTCCCCGAAGGAACTTCTTTTGGAAAAGTTCTAAAAATATTGTTATACATTATCTTATATGGAGAAATATCTTGAAAAAAATATAGTATGCAAATCCATAATAATCAATAAAATTCAATAGAATCAACACAAAATATTTGATAGAAATATTTGTTAACTCTACTTAAATTCTACAAGTTTGTGGACTTTTAAAATCGTAGAACTCCTTTTAAATTCTGATTCCAATAACCGCCTTAAAAGTTTTCTCATATTTTAATTCTCTAGTAGGAATGTCCAACAATTTTAGATCCGAAAAGATTTAATTCAAAACCGACCAATAAATACATATATGAGTCCAAAAATTCTTTATCCAAAAGATCCGAACCCGATCTAAATACTTTAATGTCAATGCATAATTAAGATATGACAATTTAGCCAATTTCTCATAATAGTTTCAATTATTTGTAAATATTAAAAATTTAAATTTAAATAAGTATGCACATTAAAACAAGAAATTTTTTAGGACATCCCTAAAAATGTTTTATCACATATTTGATCAAAATAAGCAAAACCTTTCAATGGAAAGGTAAGTATGCACTATAATCATAGGGTTAAATTATCTAGATTTATGATTTAAAGTTAAGAGGTGAAATTTAATTTTATAAAAAAAATACAAAAATACAAAATTTTAAAAGAAAAAATATAAAATAAAAATTTTAAAAATAGTTTCAGAAAGAAAATCTGTAAAAAAATCGCAAAAAAAATATTATTAAACTTTTAAATTTGAAAACATATTCAAAACTATATAAAATTTTCTATTTTTTTTATTGTTTATCTATATTTAGAGTAAACAACCAAAATAACTCTCAACTTACCTAAAAAAACCTTGAACTTGTGTTTAAACCATTTTTATTTTCAATTTTTTAAAAAATTGTTTATTTTAAACTTTAAATTTTGTTGACTAAGCCAATTTAGATAACTGAAAATTGTTTAACGGTTAACTTTTCATGTATCCAGAAGGGTGTGGAAACAAAAGTTGAGGTTTAAAATATACAATTTTTAAACTCAGAGATTAAAATAACTTAAATGTAAGTTTATAATTTTTTCTCGGTTCTGGAAGATCTGAGTTTCTAAACGATTTCTCTCTTTGACAACCAAAAAAAACTTATTAACGTTTCTTTAATTACCTTTTTAAGATGAGATTTTAAATATATTATTATGTGACATGTTAACTAGAAGACACGGGTTTTGAAGAGTGTGGTTGTGTCTCTTAGAGCATCTCCAAAAATACTCTCTATTATAGAGTTTGCAAAACTCTATATTTGAAGTTTAAAGGTGTTATACTCCAAAAGCAAAACTTCAAACCTAACTTTAAAATTATTTGTATTTTATATAATGGTCCTTATATTTGTCCTAACTAATTCAAATTCATAAACTTTTATAAATAACTATCATGTATAAAAATATTATAGAAATATCATTTGATAAAATGTTACACTAAAATATAAAACTATAAATAGAAATATATAATCTCTATAATATTATTTGAGAAGTCACTTTCTTAGGTGTCACGCTCACGTTAACTCTCACGTGGTTGATTACTATGATACCCCTAATAATATAAAAATACAATTAAATATTATTTAATTTTTAAAAATTTCCAAATAACAATATAAAATAAAATGGAAACATTTATAAAATTTACAAAACTATTTAAAAACGAAAATATAAGTATATATAATATGGTTTAATAAAAAAAAGGAAAGTTCACAAAATAGTAATATTTAATTTAAATATATTTTAAATAGCATAAAATATACCTTTGAAGTAATAAAATACTTTACATCTATATCTTCTTAGATAAAAAAACAATATATGTATATAATGTGAATTCATAATAAAAATGCATACAAAAAATATTGCTATTAGAAAAATAAATATTTTTTCTTTATATATATATATTTTCAAAATAATTATTTTTGTATATATCTATCTATTTTATTAGATGATTACATAAAATAATCAACTAACATAAACTGATATATGTTTAATTGACTTTTTTATAATTAGTATTATTGAAATTATTTTCTTAGTATATTGATTTGACTATAATATCTTACAATTACTGTAATAATATAAATTATATTTTACTTATATAGTATAATTTCACAAAAACACTCACTTTTTACTGACTATTTTAAGAGATATTAAAAATAAAACTAAAATAAATTTAATAATAAAAATGTTTTGATCAAATAACTACAATTATTTTAAAATACCACAACAATATATAATTTAACGAGGTAGATATATTATATTTTAATAGTTAAAATTATCTGTTTTAAGAATAAGGATTCTGATTTGCTTAAGTATTTTGATTATGGTTATATTAAGTTTCACAAACATAAAAACAGAAAATAACTACAATTATTTTAAAATACCATAACATTATACAATTTAACGAGGTAAATATATTATATTTTAATAGTTAAAATTATCTTTTTTCTTAATAAATCTTTTGATTTTTAATTTTCTGTTTTTATGTTTGTGAAACTTAATATAACCATAGTCAAAATACTAAATCAGAATCCTTATTTTTAAAATTATTTAAAATAAATTTCAGTTTACCATCCAATCAATCTAAAGCATAAATTTGTTTAGAATTTATAAAATATTTTAATTATTGTAAATATTGATATGTGTTCAAAATCTTCTAAAAAATCATTAGTTACTTATGTATGTAATTTAGAATCAGACACTTTAGTTTTTATTTTATTTTCCTTCTAAGCACAAAAAAATCTTAAGTTATATATAATCTTACTAAATATACTTATATTTCTAAGATGACAACCAGCATAATGCAAATAAGACAATTAATAAAAAATTCAATATATTTAAAATATAAAAGATTATAGTTGAATTCAGAGAAATAGATAAATTCCAATATATCTAAATGATAACTAAATCGATTGTAAAAGCAATAAAATAGACTAAATATAACATATCTAAAATTATATATATAATTAAATTAATATAATATTATAATATAAATTAGACATACAAACTATAAATTAATTTAAAAATTAAAGTAAATATCAATCAATTATTATTGTATTGTATATTTATTATATAAATATACATGCCCGTGCATGAGCACGGGAAAATCACCTAGTTAAATATTAAAGTACAAACAAAATACCACATTATATCATGTAATATTGTTGTTGTCTACTTCTAGTTTTAAATATTTTAAACATTTTCTTGATGCTTTTTTAAATAGAAAATTTAAATTTATAAAGATAATTTTGAATTATTTATGAAATAATAATTGTAAGGATTAAAATGATAAAATAATAAATATTTAAGATTATTATAAATATGATATCTAATTGTAAGGACCAAAATTTAAATAAAATATGAAACTTCAAATTTGAAGTTTTGAATAGTGATACTCTATATTTGAAGTTTCACTACTCAAAACTTCAAATTTGAAGTTTTAGAGTTCCGTTTTGGAGAGACAAAAACTTTATATTTGAAGTTATAGAGTGTCTTTTGGAGATGCTCTTATAATGCATCAATAAAGCTTAAAGACCGAAAATTCTCTTAGATTAACCTGATTCTTATCTTATAGTTTGATAAATATGTGTACATCATATTTGTCGTTACTATAAATGTTTTCTTAATCTATTATAAAACGAAGTAAAACATGAACTCAAAGAAAGATAATGCAATAACTTAACTTAGTAATTTTCTTTAATAAGTAACTAAGTAAAGGTTAATTAGTTTTTCTAATCACAAAGAGATAAATTCGTTTAAATTGTATTTTTTTAAACGCAAAAAAAGTTTGTTTAAGCCATTTTAATTTCCAACGTTTCAAAAATTTCATTTTAAAACTTAACTCGACTAAACTATTTTAAAAATACGAAAAGTCAATCGTTAATTGTTTTTATGCTAAATTTTTAGGTATCTAAATTGGTTTAGTCAATAAAAATTGAAGTTTAAAATGAATAATTTTTTAAATTTAGAGATTAGAATGACTTATATAGAAGTTGAAATTTATTTTGACTTTTTGTGTAAGTTGAGATTTTCTGGATATTTTCTCTTTATATTTATATATGTGTAAATCAATGGATCATGAAATCTTTTGACTATTTAATACATTTATTTTTGATAATTTTCCTTTTTATATGTTCTTTTTTTAGTGACAAAAATCTAAAAAAAAATAGTTATTTGAGAAAATTACCTTAAACAACACTCATATATGTTTCCAAATAAACTTAATGTTCAAAAGGTATTATTAACAGAAAACCTTTTTCTGTTTAGGTGTAAGACAAAAAAATTATTTATTGCCTGTTTTAAGGATGCGACTCATATTAAAAATCTTTTATTTTGGTATTTAATGTTTCCCTGTTAGTAAATGAAAAGTCAAATACTAAATTGAGATATATATTTTTTTAAATACTGAGAAAAGCAAAAGAACTCGCGTCACTTCGACTTAGCTTTAAAGATTCTCTGTCTCTCTCTCTCTCTCCATGGATCGCTTCCTCTCGCCGGACTTCAACTCCCCGATGATCAACCCCTCTAACTTATCACCTTCAGTTCGCCCTCCTATTTCGGCGGAGAAGATGGAATCTCTGCAAGCCGTGGAGAAGATCATCAATTACAGTTTCTCTAACAAGAGTCTTCTGGAGGAAGCTCTTACTCACACATCATGCGTCGACTTTCCTTCTTACGAGAGGCTTGAGTTCGTAGGCGACAGCGCCTTAGGTCTTACCCTCACGAACTACTTGTACCTCGCTTACCCTAACATCGAACCGCACGAGCTGTCTCAGTTGAGAGCTACGAACGTAAGCAACGAGAAACTCGCTCGTGTAGCACTCAGACATGGTCTCTACAGGTTCCTTCGACGCAATTCTCCTTCGTTAGATGAAAAGGTAATTCAAATCTTGACTTTTGGATCACTTTGGTCGGAACAAGAGTGATTGTTTGGTCGGAACATAGTGTGATTTTTACTTTTATGTTTTGTTATTATAGGTGACAGAGTTCTCAGAGGCGGTGTGGAAAGAAGAAGTTTCAATTTATTATGGTGGATTAGTGAAAGCTCCTAAAGTTCTCGCTGACCTCGTTGAGTCTATAGCCGGAGCTGTCTATATAGATGTCAACTTTGATCTGCAAAGATTCTGGGTGGTATGTGTCTTGTCTCTCTTTCTATCATGCTTAAAAGGTGGTAGTTAGGCGCTTTATATAATATGATATTATTGACTAAGTGGACGTTATTGCTTGCTTAATGTTAAGGCTTTCCTATTGTTCGATTTGCAGATCTTCAGGGGTCTTTTGGAACCTATATTTACACTAGATGATCTGCATCGGGAACCTCAGCCTATTAGTATGCTTTTCAAGTTATGTCATAGACAAGACAAGCGACTTGACATCAGGTATTTGAAAGAGGGCAAAAGCAATGTCGCTGGTGTATATCTTGATGATGAGTTGTTTGCTTCCGGGAGTGCTGAGAACAAAGATATCGCGAAGCTGATCGCTGCTAAGGAAGCAGTACGCAAGTTTTCTGAATGCACGCCTGTTGCAATGGTGATTGATGAGGGTAGTGTGGAGGTTGAACTTGAAGATGCTAAGAGGAAGTTATATGAGATTTGCTGCAAGAAAAAATGGCCTAAACCAATTTACAGGTATAAATCTTACCATGATCCAAATCTAATATTGATTTGAATCTTTAATTAGTTCGAGAGTCTTGTATTTTCGGTAAATGGAACATGTTTGCTAATCAATAAGAGTTTGCTTTGTTTAAACATATTGTTACTGTGACTAACCTTTTTTTTTTTTGCAGTGTTGAGGAAGAACGTGGCACGGCAAATGGGAAGAGATTTGTTTGTTCAGCTAGTATAAAGATCCCTAGTGAAGAGAGTCCGTTATATATGAAGGGGGATGAAGAATCCAAGAAAAAGAAAGCAGAAAACTCCTCAGCTTACCACATGATAAGAGCCCTAAGAAAATCCAGTTATCTCTAATGGGTTCTTGATTGATGTTGTAAAGTTATAAGAGTGCAATCTGAGTCATTCAGAAGAAAAAAACTTCTATTAGGGTGATTGTTGAGGAGAAGAAGAAGAAGAAAAACTATTGTCTTGTGTCAGGCAAATGTCTGTATGTGTTGTAGTAGTATTAGCTTTTGTTGCTGTTATGGGGTTTGTGGTTTACACATGTAATTGACGGGAATGTTCTCCTTGTCTAAGTGTTGTTGTAGTTTGTTTTTTGTTTCAAATCTTCCTTGAACTTTTTAATAAACCAACTTACAGCCAGGGCCGGCTCTGAAAATTATGCGGCCTAAAGCGATTTCTTAACGATTTTGCTTAAAAAATTATTTTAACGGATTTGGGGGCCTAAAAAATTTTCTTTTGTGGACCTATATACAAGTAATTTTTCAAAAAATATTGGGGGCCAAGGCCAATGTTTCATCCGGCTTTCCCAATGCCGACCCTTCTTACAGCATCCATGATGCTTCATGTGCCTATTTGCAAATATAAAAGAACAGACCAGTTAGATGTTGGCGTATTGCCGTAACAAGAGTGTCATGTGGAGCAAAATAAGTTTCTAATCAGGGAGGGAGCAATTACGTATTGCGTAGGCTACTTATAGCATCTCAGGCCCACGAGCCAACCAAACTTTCAGATGAATCTAGGGCGACAAATCCCACCACAATAGAAGCGTTTTAAATCGGTGAGTCTCATAAAAAGACACAAAACTAGGGTTTCATACACACAGCGCACTAGGTTCCAAAAGTTTCATCTCCAAGATCATTGATGGCAGAAAAAGAAGAGAAGAAAATAAACACAGTCTATCTTCCCGAGGATATGCTTGTGGAGACACTCTCTAGGGTTCCGGAAGCTTCACTGGCACGGTTCCGATCTACCTCAAAAGAGTGGAACGACACTACAAGAAAACACATCGATTCCTAGGGACGATTTCCTCGGAATGTCGTCGGAATTAGGCGATTCCGACGATATTCCGAAAAAAATTTCCCTCGGAAAAATCTCCTCGGAATCGCAGTTTTCGTTGGAATTTCCTGGGAATATTCCGAGGACATTCCGACGGACAATATTCCGAGGACATTCCGAGGATGTTTTCCGATGGAACCGTTTGTCGGAATTTCAACGAAAATTTCCGAGGGAAGAAACTACTCGGAATATTCCGAGGAAGCCATCCGTCGGAATATTCCGAGGACTTCAATCTCTCGGTAAATTCCGAGGAAAGGTATTCCTCGGAATAATTCGAGGGATGGTATTCCTGAGAATATTCCGACGGAGATTCCGAGGAATGTTTTCCCTCAGAATATTCCGAGGAATATCATTCCTCGGAAATTTCGTAATTTTTAATTTTTTTAAAAATAATA